GAGTCTATTTTCATATATGCTTTGTTAGCGGACATTTGTTGGTCATTCGTGCACGTAACAATACAGAAAGTTGACAAAAGAGGGGATCATAAAACACTTATATAGTTAACATTCTTTCATTGGAGTGGCTTTTTCGCACATTACATCTTTTAATCAGCCATTGTTTTTTAGGTATTTATAGACTAAAACTCACAATCATATTTTGACTTGATAATGACGTTTAGCTAACACTGAAATCTTGTCGTCTTTTAGCAACTTTTTAATCTTAAAATGATTTTAAGAAATATTTTATCACAATTTGTTATTGTTAAACTATTATGACGCAGTTTATTGAACTTAAGCATGCCAGGAAAAGAAAGTTTCATAGGGCACCCAGCGTAAACTTATAAACTACACATCGTAGCACTTATAAAAAATATAAAAACCTACTTGCTAGCATGGAAAATTATTCAAGATACAACTAATAATGATATAACATCGCTAATTTACAATCTATTATTAAGATACACAACAACAACTAAGTCACGTTCTGTGAATGAGATTTCTGTAAAGCTTAAAAACTAAATTCTCAAAATAAATAGATTAATCTTCTAATATATGGAACTCAATATTTAATTTATCCTAACATTATTATTATTATTGTTATTATTTATTATCATAAAAATCATCATCATTATTATTACTATTATCATTATTGTCACAACCTTGATTATTATGCGCTGGAAAGATTTGAATGAACAGAAGTTGTCCTTCTTGTGAAGAAGGACAGCTTAGCATCTGTAACTATTTAAAATCATTATCTTAATTGTCACTCATGCTCGTCACATCTTGATCAAAGTCAATTGTCGAATGAGCCCCACAATTTTCATGGCAAAGATGGGCAACTTCTGATGAAAAACAATCTGGAAATATGCCCTTCCTCCAGTTTCCAACAAAAGCATACCCGAGAGACCTGGTAGTAGATGCTTAAAGGTAACATATAATGTTCATATGCTCAGTCAACTGGTGGTCTTTTGATGTGACATCATACTTAATGCCAAATGAAAACGTTTATACAGTTAAAACTAGAGGGACTTTCTACCTGGAACACAGGCATTTTTCTGGATATAACAAACAAACTCAGGAACAAATAGCCATTACTGGAATGAAATGGTACGACTTTTGTGTTTGTCTCACTAAAATAATTGAAGAACTCCTATCAACACCAAAAGATAATAGAGGAGCTACATAGCAGAAACTTCGAAATGAAGAGAGAATTCCATTGCAAACATACCAAAAATGACATTCTGGGCCAAAACAAAAAAAAACAAAAAACAAAACTATAGGAAAAAGGAAGGAAGCCAGAGAAATAACAATTTGATTTTAATTTATCTTGAAGTGGAGGCTGTTCAGAGCAAGAGTTCTTTTTTAAACAGAACATTGAAAATTCCGATGAAAGATTTATGAAAAATATTCACTTTTAAAATTTTGTTTGTCATAAGAGTTTTATTATATTTATTGTAGTTTTCTTCTTTTTTGCAATTGTGGTATTCTTCTTTTAACATGTTCTCAAGTACTCTTAAAATTGTGATTTTAATATAAAACCGTCTCAGGAGACTGGGGTCAGGAAACGAGGTTATGACATTGAATTGTTGGATTGCAGATTGTTGGATTGCCAACACAGTGTGTCAAGAGGAAACCACACCTACTCGTCAAAATCCATCCATTTCCAATCCATCTGTTTCCTATCTGTTTCCATGATGTCCAGTGATTCCGAGTCCAGTACTGAATTGTGTGACACTTCTGAAAGTATCGATCATGATGAGGAGCAGTGACAGTTCCATTTGCGAAGAAAGAGTTATTGATGGTGTTATCATCCCGTATCATGACAAGCTGCTTGCTGATTGTGGTGAAAAAAGCTCAAATCCAAGTGAAGAAGAAACAGATATCAACAGACTTAACCCATCAACTTCAGAGTCCAAATTTAACAGAATAAGTTTGTGGATTCATGGTTAGTTGAAATGTTTACTGCAATACCTTATAGAAAGAAGCATAGGCAGAACTGATCTACCCCATGCGTTGCTAAGTTTGTCCAATAACTATTCATTTACCTCTTCCAGGTGTCGTGCGAACTGTGGAATACTAAGATGTTAGTTGGTGCTTTTGAGTTTTGGTGTTCTGCTTACTTTTGTATTTCATAAGAAACTGACAATAGACTGACAACAAACCAACAAATTCCAGCTCGCTTTATTCATTTGACACCTTGATTTTAAATATTTTGCTTACTATCCCTCACCAAATCCAGGGATAGATGGCAGCAAAGGTAAAAAATTCAACCTGTCTTTAAGAACAAATATTTCCGTTGCAAAAGCTAAGAATTCTTCTTCTTGCAGCTGGAAAGCGTTTTTACCCATACGCCTTTAATGGTTATGTTTAATTAATCATTTTGAGGCTGCAGCATTGTACAAAAGTGATGCAAACGAATTGAAATAAATTTCATGGCTCTTGGGGAGGCTTTGTTGAATGCTTTGAGGAATGCATGCATAAAGTTAAAGGTAGCTTGGGAGTATTAAAAGTAGAAGTATTTTCTCTACTAAACTATTTAAGACACTGGTGGAATTTGCATTCTAGACTTTGTCATAAACACAACTTGGATACTCATGTTTTCATGTGCTTGAAATCATTTTCCTGGATTACCTTCAGTTGAATCCCTGAATCCTTTTGGATCTCTTGGTTTGATTAACTGGTTACCTCACAATAATCACAAGAAAAGCACTCCATATATTCAGTTAGTTTTGCACTTATTGAGTTTTAAATGATTTATTATATTTCTTCTCAGACTTATGTTGGAGTTTAGTAAAAACAGGCATAGAAAGAAATATGGGAGGAATATGAAGGAAAGAGAGAAGAGCAGAGAACAAGATCACTGAAAGATGAAAGGATTAAAATTGTTAAAAACCAAGAAACACCCTGAAATTAAGACGATTTGACAGCAGAGATACCAAGGTAAAAAAGACATTCTGAGCCCAAAAAAATAATATGCAAGAAAAAGGAGAGAAAGAAGAGAAATAACAATAAGCCATTTTCAACACCATCTTGAAAGGCTGCAACAACTATCAATGTTTATTTTTTTTAATTTCACATTCTTGTAAATACCCATACAAAAAACATTCTTATAAAAGCAAAGTTCCTTGGTAGTTAGCACCCAAACCCTTTATGTTTCTTACTTAAAAAATTGGAAGTACAAATAATGACTAATAAAATGAACTTTAGATAATTCCAAGTCAGGAGAAACAACGAAGTACTTTAAAAGCACTTCATAGGGGAAGCTGTAGTATCTTGGGCACCTCTTAAGGAGGAAAAATAGATTTCTCTTTTCCTTTCCCTATAATGCCTTCAATTATTTAAATTTTATGAGAACTGATATCAACTGCTGTTATTGCTGTTATCAACATTACCTTCTTTGAGCAATAATCCTCCCATTTCTTGCTGACACTAAAGGGTAAAGATAAAGGTAAAGGTAAACTTTATTTTCCCAGGGTGGGCCAATCAGCCATAAGATTGGTATCCAGAGGGGCCCTGGGCTAAAATGTACAATAATTTAAAAATACTGTGTCAAGATATTTTTAAAGGCTGATAGTTTCGAAAGAAACTGTTTGGGGCTGCGTCGGTGGGAGTAACGAAATAATTTGGATATATCAACAAAGTTGAAATGGTAAATTAGCCACCGTAATGATTACAAAAGATATTTTAGCTCTTTTGTGTGACATTAAGTAAGATAAGTGATTTGCATTACGTGATCTCTTTTCTTGTGATTTCAATGTCGACAATAGAACAAATTAATCAGTCCCTATTATCATCATATGTAGACAATAGAACCAATTAATCAGTCCATATTATCATCATTTTCTAAGATATAGGGTGTTTCGCACATCAGTGATAAAAAAAAACTGACCAAGAAGTACATATTCACTACTTCTATCAATAAATCAGGATGTGATCAGTAACTACAGTATCTAAGGAAAAATAAACCGTGAAGTTTGCGAAGAACAGTCTGGTGTTTTTTTTGGCATTCCCAACACAGAATACTAAAAATACAGGATGTAGTAGCTTAAAATTAAAATAGTTGAAAATCGTATTCATTTCAAAGAAGATTTGTAGCTTGACTTCACTTTAGATGCTGATTTGAGGCCAACTTGACCTGTGCTATTAAGGGGGAATATCATCACAGAGCAAGAAAAACATGACCAGCCCTGCATTGTGGACATGTGATCGCCGCAATCTTGACTGGAGAAATTCCGTCACAGTGGAAGTAAGCCAAAATAACTCCAATTTAGGGGGGGTAGGATGATGAGAACAACGATCCTCCAATTTCACTTCTTCCCTTGATTTTGTGAGTGATGCAATATGTGCAAGAATCCAATTGTGAACAGTGTGTCAGTCATAGTGAACTAAATTTAAAAAACGCTACAATTTAATAAGTTAGGCCCGGTTCAAACGTAGAACTCTATATTTGCCAAATCAAAGTTTGACATTTGAATCAATTAGGTTTGACAGATTTGTATTTGGATTGACCTGCCATTCTATTTGCCTGGGCTTGTCAAATAGAACTGCAAAAGATTGACTTTGTTTCAAACGTCAAACTTTCTCATGTGCATACATTACAAATACATTTAATAAATTAATTCTTACTCACAGTTTGCATCTTTCCTATTTTAGTCATGGTGACACGATTTGTTTTGATCATTTTGAACAAAATGGCCGGAATGTGTTCTCCTTGCTTTGAGAGTACTAAATATACTTGTCTGGAGTGCACAAACCACTTCTGCATGCGGTGTTCTGTATTTGGAAACCATGAGGATGTAGTGGAAAGGAAAGCAGTTCACTGGCATACTGCCAGTCATGTTTTGATGAGAAAGTGACGAAAGAAATGAAACAGAAGGGAGATTTCCAGAAGGAAGCCAGCAGAACGAAAATTCAAGAAGCAGTTTGGTCCGCAGACACGGCCTCTCAAGAAAGGTATGTATTTATAGTGTTGTTATAGCCTGTATTTGTCTACATTGAAATCACAAGAAAAGAGATCACATAATGCAAATCACTTATCTTACTTAATGTCACACAAAAGAGCTAAAATATCTTTTGTAATCATTACAGTGGTTAATTTACCATTTCAACTTTGTTGATATATCCAAATTATTTCGTTACTCCCACCGACGCAGCCCCAAACAGTTTCTTTCGAAACTACCAGCCTGTAAACAAGCCACAAACTCAAATCAAATTTGCTACTTGTGTTACTGTTAGATGGTAGTAAAGGCTTGCCATAGTATTTTACCCGGTGGAGGACAAGTACTTGGCAGTTGGCTACCTGCAACCGGGTCGGAGGACCCTTCATGGCCAGACTCTCCCTCCCGGCATTGATGTCATCCTTGTTACATGGGTTGACAGCAAGGAAGAGGAAGCACTACCTCCGCTCGTAATAGGGGACCCCCAAGAGAATGCCAAGCTCTGTCCTGGTCAATTCTTTGCGTTTCCCAGGACCTGCTTGGCCAAAGTTAAAGTTATCTGAACAGCGGCCCCGTTGTTCAGTGTTTTAGCGTCAGAGAGAGAGTGTTTCGTTTTAAATTCCTTTTCTATTACTGTTCGTGTAGTGAGCGTCTGCTCACTTTATAATTTTCTAACCAGTGGGAATTAAAAAATGAAACTAATCGTGAGTTTTACTTGTTTTTGCTTCTGATCAAAATACTCATGACGTGGGGAACTTACGTAGTAATATCACTACAAAGATACGCACTAAAACCGACCTTTATAGTGAAGGTAATTTTCTTTTATATTCTGCTTTCCTTATGATGATAATGATGACCACGACGACAACCATAATGATGATGATGATGATGATAATGATAATGAATTAGTTTTAAGTCTAAATTTTAATTACAGGAAGAATCTTTAAGTTGTGTTTTATCAGCATACACATTGTTGTATGCACCATAATATCTTTATGTAAACGTATATCAAATCTAGTCTCCTTCTTTGACCATAAGTTAAATAAAGTTAGGCATACCTGTATGCCTTGTGATCAATGAATTTCGCTATATTGCGACTACCACAGTAACTTTATCGAAGTGGCCCGCCTGAGCAGCATTACTTCTCGAGCTATCATCAAGGAACTGAAAGCCATATTTGCAAGATTTAGAGTCCCAGACACTCTGGTCACAGACAATGGTCTACAGTTTTCGTCCGCCGAGTTTTGAGTTTTCTCCAGGACCTGGATGTTTGAGCACAACACATCCTCGCTGGCCTATCCTCACTCTAATGGAAAGGCAGAGAATGCAGTTCAGCCAGTTAAGAATTTGTTAACAAAGTGCAAGGCGTCTAAAGCATCAGAGTTTCAGGCACTCTTAGACTGGCATAACACACCCACGGTAGGAATTGGCACCAGCCCCGCCCAACGCCTCATGGATCACTGTTGTAAAACACTGCTACAAGTAGCAGGCCCACAGTTACAGCCCAACTTTCCCACTGAGGAGGACACTCGCAAGTTGATAGGTACCAAACAAATACCAAAAACAGCACTACTACAACAAGCAAGCCAAACCTTTAGACCCAATCAGCTTGGGAGAAACAGTGCGAATGAAACTATCTGGTGAGAAAACAAGGAGTTACGAAACATGCACGGCTACAGCTGGCCCAAGGAGCTATAGGGTACAAGTAGGACAGACAGTGTATAGGAGAAATCGACCGACGGCAGCTTATCAACGCAGGAGAATCCAAAGATGTCCCAGAACTAATTATTCCAGATCACTCAGCAGAAACAAGCCCTGAGCCCAAGGCCACTGTCCCACCCGGAAACTGCCCTCTGTCTGAAGTTCACATTGGACTGAGGCAGTCGCAACAGGAAGTGAAGCCACCACATTGGTTCAAAGCCTTTGTCACTCCCTAATACTTTTTTTTGTTGTTGTTTCATTTAACATTTCTTAGGAAAAAGGGAAGATGTGACAAGTTGTGCGACTTTTTTATAATACTGTATTGTGATTCTGTCAATCAGCTTTGTATGCATCATTGTCCAAGCATGTGCGAGGACCTCGTGGGTTCTCGGAGCAGCACGTAGTTTGGTCGTCCTGGCACAGTGTAATTTTCAATAAACCATTTAAACCTGTATTTGCCGTTTCTTACACAAAGGACCAATTCACTACATTTCTCATGAGATTCTGAAGCCAGATTCCAAATCAATTTCAGCAAGGATCGTGTGCTCCAGTAAGCACCCCTCCGCTTCATCGTCGTAATTATGATAACTTCCACTGGCTCGAAATAATATTACTTCCGATTTCCTCCAAATTTGGTCTGTATGGCATTGAAATATCAAACCAATCATGTATCGAGTTTGGTGAAGTATCTTTGAATGTGAGCTATGCAACATTCATTTGAAATTTCAAGTCAGATCGCTAAAGATGGCTTCGTCTTCCAAGCGAGCGCAGGTGGGACCAAGATCAGTCTTGATTGAAAAGGTCTCATGTATATACCCACCACGAGTGCCCAACTGAGTGAAACACATTTAATTATTCAATACGCCATACACCGATTTCATTAAAATGGCCACCGCTCGGACGAAGAATGGGGCAAGCACTGAAACGAGGCATTTTAGGACTCGGCAAACCTTACAGATATGGCTTCGCGGTCAAACATATATTGTTGTGTTCCTCACTGTACTCAAAGAGGAACTATTGGGCCCAACGGAGAAAGAGTTGGTTTCTTTAGTTTCCCAAAAGAAGCATCACTCAAAAAGGACTGGCTTGCTAAAATGAGAAGAGATCCTGGCAAAAATTTTAACTTGAACAACAACATGAAAGTATGTTCACTCCATTTCGAACCGTACGAAATCCAGAAAGGATTTGGTGGGAAGATATCTTTAAAAAGATGTAAAGAAATTTTTTCCTCGAAGATTTGCTGGCGTACTTCACCAAGAAAGTGACCAGCTCCTTCTCTGACGACGGATCCAGTAGTAAAGGAGCGTCTGAAAAGAAATCTGGACATCGACTCAACAACAACCAATAGTGCCATCGAGGAGAGCCTTTCCACTAGTGCTGTTGAGGACATTGAGTTTGAAAGTGCTACAACAACAAAAGCCTACACTGAAGGAATTAATCAATTAAAACTGGAATTAGAACAACAACAGAGACAAATAACCGCTTTGTGTAAGGAGAAGGACAATGCCTTAATAGAAATAAAGCATTTAAAACAACAACACGCCAAACTCAATTGTAAGTATTTAAAGCTTAAACCACGTGTATTTTTCTTGGAAAATATTTCTGATGATCAGTCCATTTGTTTTTATATGGGATTCCCCAGATTTAAAATCATAACTGCCTCCCGGTTAGCTCAATGGATTGAGCGCTGGACTGTTGTGCGGGAGGTCGAGGGTTCGAGCAATTCAATGTCTTCTTCAGGTGTCGCTGCCAGCAATGTAATACCGGCACATTAGTTGGTTCCCTGGAGTTTCAATGTTGCAGAGAGGTAAATTCATCTGCAAAGATGGTTTTTGATGGTTCCCTTGAACGGATAAAATGCATCACACAACATGAGGACTACGATGCGATTACGAACCATGCAGTTCTTCTCCAAGTGGATCCCTTGTTGAGAAACCAGGATGGTGGGACTTGCCGTCGCCGAGGTGGAATGTCAGAAAACGAGTCAGTACATTTTTAGTCAAAACATAAATAAAAACATAAATAAAAACAAATAAAAACATACAATGTGTAAACTAGCATTATCACTTTGCTGGACATAAAACATTAAGCTTCAGATAAATCAGGGTAAATTAAGGCATCTCAATCTATAAAAGTTGACCAAGTTAGATTTTGCATTTACTTGGACTTTTATCTGATGCACTGACCTAAGATTAAACAGGAACTAATAAGATTGCTTGCAGAGTAGCTTGTCGGAAAATGTAAGCTTGAGAAATGCTCTGTAGTTCATTATCCATTCATAAACAAAAAAATTTTTTTATTTGAATGTGTGCYTCATGGGGAGGTGAAAGGCAGGGTCCTGTAGTAATGTAGCGCATTCTTACACACCTTCCTATATAATTTTCATTGTGCTTTTACTCTAGGTTCATTAGAGCTGTTGCATACCGATGGACCACAAGGTGGCTTTGTGGCTACATGGGCTGGGATAACAGAAGACCACTACCAGCCTGTGTTTACCATAATATCAGAACAAAATACCACTCACAAAATACCAGAGGTTTTGCTGCTGCTCAGGACAGAGAGTAGCATAGTACACATAATCAAAACTATGACATGATTCTTCTACACTGATTTAACATACAGTATTTTGTTTGTAAACAACAATTTTCAAATTGATTTTCATGGGTGGTTGTTTCTTGTTCTATTGTTTGGTAATGTATGGACTGTGAACCAGAAACAGCGTAGGTTCTACATGCACACTAGTTTGACTAAATTTAAAACTTCACCTTGTTGTAGGTACAATGCAAATATTGTAAGTTGATGAGTACAGTACAATGCAGGCATGGAAAATTTGAAGTAAAAAGGAAAATTGTACCCCGCAGAAAACCTTCCTGTGACAGAAGTTTGGTCACTTTATTTTTTGCAACGGCTTTTGTGACTTTGCAATGGGTTTTTGCATATGGAGCAATTGTAAGGTCGTCTTGAAGTGGGTTGACTGCTTGCTGCTTGGGGTATCGTAATAGGCTACTAATACTATTTCTAGCTTGACGCAGACGTATTAATGGATCTTTATCATTTTTTATTTCGATTTCATAAGATGTTGCATAGTTTTTCTAATGCACTCTGCGACATTTGTACTTCTGGGGATTCATTTTGTTCTCTGTACAATTCTTTGACCTTGGTTCAGGTAAAGGTTCTTAATTTTCAATGGGTCTATCTAATATCTTACCTACCTTTTTAGTCCTAGGTGCTGGAACAGGTCTCTTTTTATTTCTAGGAGATGGAATTGGCTTTGGTGTTTGCAACAACAAAGATATTAATTGCTTTTTCATGAGCTTTTGGAGTTCTTTTTCATTACATTGACTCGTCTCACTATATAAATATACTGATATCACTTTTTTAAGTAAAAAAAAAAAAATTTAAATCTATAGATCAATGAGGTTTTTGTTTTGCAAATGCTTTTTGCTCTTTAAATGCGTATGTTTATTTCTTGGAGTGTAGTTTTTACCATTGCTGCAATCAGGGCAATACTATTCGTAACTTTTCATTCTTTCATTGTGATATTTTCTTCGTTCTTCTTCTGTCCTATAAACTGGTGGTCTTCCTCTTCCTCTCTTTGTTTCCATATATGTTTTATACATATTTTATTTTTTAAATCATAATTTTTCTATATCTTTTAATGACACCCAACTATTGAATTCATCTGGGTATCCTTTCCATTTTACTAACGCTCTATCTTTGCTCTTCTTTATGACTTTTTCTATGCAGTAGATATTTTGCCTAGCTAGTTGGAGTTCTTTTTCATAAAAAGTACCTTGTATCACTTCATCTTTTTGATCGCAGATCTTATAAGCAATGGGATCCATGTATTGGATTTTTTCAACAATAAACACTTTTTCAGTGCAATTAGGAGTATATCCTTTATCAAAGGTTTTTCTCTTATATTTACTTATCCTTACTGAGTCACCTACTTTAAATTTAGCTGTCTGATTATTAGCTTGTAAATCGCCATATAGATTAATTAAAATAAACCATACCACAATTCTTTTTTGGCTAGCTTCCACTGGAGTCACACCAATGGATCTATGTTTCATGTTATTGTATGGATCGAGTATCTTGTCTAGTATATCATAATAGACTGTATTATTTTGTATAGTGAATTGCTTGTACATTTTATCTTTGATAGTTCTATTCCAACATTCACAAACAGATGATTCCTCTTCGTTTCCAGTAGAATACATTTTTACATCCTCTTTAACTAGTACATCTTCAACATTTTTGTTGTAATATTCATGTCCTTTATCGACCCAGAAGAATTTAGGCTTTTGACCTTCTCCAAATATACTCTTGAGTGCATCTCTTACAGCTAGGCCCGTTTTACATTTTAGCAGGACTATCCAGCCATATTTGCTAAAATGTCTAAGACCATTAGTAGATATTTGTATCCTTTGTTCCATCTACTGAACTTTTGCATATCAACTAGATCAGAACACCATACATCATCCACATTCTTTGCTTTGACTCTTCTCTTTCTAAAATTTTGTCGGATCGGCTTGTGTAATTCATCAGCCAATCTCTCTTGCCAGCTTTTTGGGGTAGTTTTTTTGTGGTGGCTTTTTTTACGCCTAGACCAAGCTTTTGTTTGGTATTAATTACATTTCTCGCTAACCAATCCATTGGCATTCATTCCAAGGAACCGCATCTTAAATCTTTGACCATTTTTCGATTAGCTTTGTTTTTAAATTTTTTATCACCTTTGCAAACGGAATAGTCTACATCACACTGCATAGCAATAGCATCAGTTTTTCCAGTTGGTGTATCATAATGTAGCCAGTATTTCACATCGACGTCATTTTTAAAACCCTAAAAGGCGGCAAACGAAAGTTTTTCTGTCAGGTTGTCATTTCAGCAAAGAAAGTGTAGAAGATAGTTTAGGTCATTAGGCTGGCGATAAGCTAATGCCAATCTTAACTTTATCTGATTCTCTGTACCAGGCGTTTTTTTGCATGAACTTCCATCCAAAATCTTAGTACAAAAATACCAGTATCTTACTGTCAAGGAGTATGTGAGGGGATAGGACTTGTTTGCAAACAATTTCATTCTGTAATATAGTGCTCTGGTGAAATCTGGAAGACGTTGCAAACTGATGTTGAATTTAGCAAGGAGAGTTTTCAGTCAACTATAGTGAAGCATGCATGCCAAGCATTTTCAACATCTCTGATTGAGACATTCACAAAAACGTGTACATTACAATAATCTGAATTTGTACATTGAGAATACTCTTGGATTATGTGCGAATTTAAAGACTTTTGATTTATCTTTCAATACATCTATCACCACTATAGATTTTATAAAATGCACGCATGCATTCCTTTAAAGTTCTCATCAGCATTGATGCTGTAAATATGTTGAGGTGCCTTAAGCAGTGTAAAACTTGTAGCCCTTAATATTTCTGATTGCATTCAGCTCAGTGAATATGAACACATTTCAGGTTTAGTTGAGATGTGTAAAATCCTCAAATGTCTATTTATATATTCATT